AGTAGTAGTAGTAGTAGTAGTAGTAGTAGTAGTAGTAGTAGTAGTAGGGAGTAGGAGCAGCACTAGCAGCAGGAGGAGGAGGAGTAACTGGTAGTGACTAGTAGTAACAAGCAGTAGTAACTAGTAGTAATAGTAACAGTAATGGCGATAATAGTTATAATATCAGAAATAATTCCATTTGGAATTCCTCAAGAGAGATCAAAGGAGCCGCAATTGGATCAAAGGAGATCAGAGGTTAGGTTGCGATTTGTTTTTCATCCGGATGTCAGTTTTTACATTATTCTGCTCTAAATACTCATATAAATCAATTCCATTCACCTCTGGACTACCAACTTCAAACATTGATTTTAGCAATCGTTTGATATGGTTGTTGTTTTGTGAGTAAAGGAATTTTCATAATGGGGATCAGAGTCCCATGACCAAAGATAGAGCAACAATAGTCAACCTGCAGGAAGCAATGGGAAATCCGTGTTTTTTGGCCGGTGCCAAATTGTTTTTTTGTTTTTTCCGAGATTGTTTTAGGCTCACAGTTGCTGAACATCGTCTTCTTCGTTGTGGTACCTTCCTTGCCAGGACCCGGGCTGAGGCATCGTGCACTTTTTTGGTTGAATGGGGAATACTGAGACGAGATGGCAATATTTCTTGTGGCAAGAACTTGTGACTTTCAAGCGATGTTGTTTTGCAAACCGGAATGGGGTGAGGCACTCTGTAACGACAGAAAGAAGAACTTGAACCTCCTCACAGTTCAGTAACTCAAAGTTCCAAAAACCACAACAACCCCAGTCAGTCCCTCAATACCTTTAAATAACAACACAACTTGTGTTTATCTTACTTTTTGTCGGACCATCTAGTTAAAGCAGCTCGCCTGTTTGGCAACCTCAGCTCGCCTTCGGTCATTGGGTCGTTGGACGTTTCGGTCGTTTGGGGGTCTTGACCAGTTTCGCACGGAGGTCACGTCGGATGTTTGGCATGTGAAACTCCTCAAAGAGGCCCCAGTTGCTTTCCTCCAGAAGTCCATCTATGCTATACTTTGCCTTGACTCTGTGTGTCCTCATGGACTGTAGACATCAGAGTGGAGCGTCTATGTGTATCGGCTGTAACTGTATGGGTAAGCTGCCACCTCTGCAAGAGTTGCGCTGCCTTTTCTACAGGAGAGTTCTTCGAATCAGACTTCAGCAGCTTGGTGCCGCCCGCGTCCCCGTGCGGTGGATTGGGCAGGTGCTGGCGTGGCGTGTTTTTCTGCACATGTCAGGAAAAACACTCTAAGGGAGTTGATTTTGTTCAACATGAGAGGAACCTGCTATAGAGAGATTGTTAGTAGAAAGGATCATATGATCAATATAAGAGTTGAGGTGTTCGGTTTGTTTGGAGGCCCTGATTTTACGACACACCGGTGACTTCAAGGCATTGGGCCAGGCAATGAAGAAAGGGAGGTCTCAATGTTTGAGCTACACACCCATTTTGACACAGCAAAGGACAATTTGGGGATCAAAACCCAGACTGACCGTTATCTTTTTTGTTTTCATAGTAGGAACCCACTAGGAAGTGGGGCCAGAAGCCCTTTGAGGCACTTTGACCTATTTGGGGCTTTGTGGCTTGCAGAGCACTTCACGCTTGCTCTTCATCGTCGCTTGGCACTTGAAGAACGCCGTCCGATTTGTGTCAATTAGGAGACCTCGCAATCTGCACGGCAGGTGGTAGCAAGTCTTCACTACAACACCTTGGGTTGTGGGGGTTCTTGACATCATATCAGTAATCCAATTGCAAGTAGACTGCATGTGTCTTCACAGGCACTGCTTTGGGATTCAACATCCGTAAGTTTCGGAGTTGTCCTCAAAAACGCTGTACTGTCTGAAGAAAGTCTCCACGACGGATGCCTGGAGGTTGGGTCTGTCGAAAAACCTGCTACAGTCGGTAAACATCATGCACTAGCTGTATAATATGTACTGTTGCAGGTTGGGAAGTTGGGATTGTGACAGAAATACTGTAACAGTACAGGTATGATGATGTTCTAGTTTGTAAATATTGGCATTCCAGTTGGGAGGAGCATCGACCCGACCCCAAGCGACACGACCGACACCACACTGGTCCGGTCCGGGTCGAGGTCTGGAACTTCAACGAGGAGACGACGTCGACCCGTGTCGACGTCGTCGGTCCGAACGGGTCGACGAGCAGACGAGGTCGAAGACGATGACGGGACGGGGTCAGGTGGGATTTGCGGATCTGGGCATTTGTTCGATGTCCAGAGGTCTTGGTGAAGGTTAGATGTGTTCATATTCCAATTAGCCGTTGTTGTCGATCTCATTGAACTCTTCAGCCCGGAAGAACATGTCTAGCCTTCCCAGCCCAGTTCCGCGGCGCAGAGAGCCGCGCCGCAGACGCCGCAGACGCCGTGCCCCGCGACTCCCCCCCTCGCGCCTCGGCAGGACTTCCACGGGGGCTTCCAAGTGGCGGCCAAGCGCATCGGAGCCTTGGAGAGTCGCTCGGCACCTGCGCGTGAGTTCAGATCGCTCGCAGCACGGCGCACGGAACCGGTGTTCAGTTCGGAAGAGTTCAACAGTTGAACTGTTGGTGATTCTGATGATATGGTCAGCGCGGTGATGTCGAGAATGCGCCCGCCGCTGGGTTTCCAGCTGCTTTCCCAGTTTGGTAGGGTATATAAACTCGGCTTCAGGTGTCATGTGCGTGTTTGGATCGTTTTTGGATGCCCAGTCACCCATTTCAATGGTTGCACCAGGACCGGCCAACTCTAGACCGCATTGGAGACCAAACTCAAGAAGAATCGCCCCTTTCAAGAAGGATGCCTGTTGTTTTTTGCTCGCTTTGTCCCATATATATTCTCCCCGGTCACCATGACTGCAGGTTTGCGCTGCGGTGTTGGCTGGGTTGCCGTGAACTTGAGCTACGCAGGCCGAGACCAGACAATTCACTCGCGCACTACGCTCGCGGGCTACGCGGGTCGTGCAGGTGGTGCAGGTGGGGGGATGATGGTGGTGTAACAAAGATATATTTGACCAAAGTGACTAGAACTGCCCGAGTTTGCTTTGGCAGATGTGAAAACAAAAGAGAACAGGCCCTTACGTAAGTGACCAAACCAACCCAAGGTGCAGAATCGGTCGGTGAAGTGGCACGTAGCGACCACCAACGTTGACCCTCAGGTTCGTCAGGCCCCTCAGGGTCCCCAGCAAGAACGAGAAAGAATGCTGAATGCTCAGTGAATGGCATGTCTCTTAAGTGGTCTTGTGTCAAGCAGCTGTTCCGACATTCCAAGCAGGTGACTTTGGGTGGTCATGTTACAATGGAATGTAGTAGACTCTTGATTCGATTTCAACCCTACAAGCCTGAAGAGTTTTTACGATCCATGTGCCGGGAAGTGTCGCATTACATATATTTGGACCACGGCGGACGGTGGTTTTAACACGGGTCGTCCGGCCGACCGGAAACAACAGCTCACCAGGTTCAAAAGGAGACCTATAGACACCTGGACCTACCGTTCCCGATGCAACAGGTATGCCTAATCTTAGGCTGGTTTTTAGCACAGTTGGAAGATCCAGAAAACCGCTATAGGCTTCTCCAGTGGGCTTTTGCCCCAACACCAGGCCGGACTGAAGATGTCCATCTTCCAAGAACGCCGAATCGGTTCCGATGGCTGGCCCCAAAGCCTCACATCGGAACGAAGGATCTTCCGGTTCCGATCACTCAGAATCGCTTTGCCGAGACACCTTGAAGGAGCTCAGAACCAGATCGATGATCTACCAAACCGGTTCCGGATTGCTTCGGGTTCCTGGATTCCGAGGACGTGTCAGACTTTCCTCTCCCAACTCCTCGCTTTTGCGGTGATCGAAGGGACCATAGATTTTTAGATGTTCCCTCGATCCCCTTCTGGGATGTTTTTCTTTGTTTCCCGGTTCCTTGAGGCACATCCAAGGCCCAAAACATCCAATTCAGTTGATGTCACCCGCCCCTTGGCTCCTCAGATGGCGACCGCAGCCCAGCGCCGCTCCCGACCGTGGCGTCGCGGTAGGTCGCGGTCGGTCAGGTTTGGAATTCATCAACCGCAACGTGGTCTTAGTGGTCTCCTTGGGCACCACCGTGCTCCTCTTCAAGGCTCCTCAATGCTACGCGCCCCTTGGAAGGAATGGATGTTTGGGAGTGGGATGTTTGGTTCTTATGGTGGGACGTCTTGAAAAGCGTGGCTTTTTTCATGGATGCATGTCCCTTTTTTGTGCAAGATCTTTCGAACGGTGACCAGTGGCCAGCACGTACGTCTTGAGAGATGAGGTGCTTTGCGTGTGTAGACAGGTGATGTGTGAAGAGTATTGAAGAGTTTCCGTGTGACTCTTCTGTTGCGGGTGGGGGAGGACTCCACCTGACTGGGGAAAGGCACCTGACTGGAGGTGTGGCGCTTGCGTAGCGGCTCTTGCACCCCCACCATGGGGTGTTTATCACTCAACTCCCGGGGGTGTCCATAAACCACCCAACTGCCGTGGCTCGTGGTGGTTGGGCTGCGCCATTTAGCCCCAATGAACTTCTATGACTTCGTAGTGTATGAGCTTCCGCACGGCCTGATTCGGGCTGATTCGGGCCGAGTAGATCACCTGGGTGGTCGTTGGAGCCATCCCCTCTTTGTTCCTTGGCCGGGCAGTCTGCTGTCTTTTCAGGCTCAGACTGTGGAAATGGTGTGGAAACGCAAACAGAGAAGATTGCAATCAAAAAGCCGTGGACGTGAGTCCACATTTCTTGACAAATCAAAGGGCGAACAACTTGCAGGTGTTCCGTGCCCAAACAGCATGTCGCACGTTTGTCCCTTCACTTGAAGCTGGGAAGAACAGTGCTATTGCATCACCCTGCTGGCGCTTCGAAGCTCCAGATGCTCTTCCAGTTGAAACTTCATCGAACATTCCCTGAAAATGGAGTCACGCTTCAGCCAACCGCCCTGTGGTTCCTTTTTTGGAACAAAGGGCCCCCCCGGCTGTGCCATGGAGACTGCAAGTCAGCTGGCTGATGGTGGCTGCATTTGCCGTGAAGGCTCAAGATGTTCCAATCGTTTGCTCAGTTCCGAGAATGTGTTAACTGATCTTGGCTATGAATGACTGGTTTAGATTGCTTTTTGAGAGGTCTAGACTGGTCTTGGGAAAACAAAATACCACTGAGCCACCATTTCCAGCCCTGGTTCAAAAGCGAAGCAGAGATTATCTCCCTTTTTGGGTATGTTTTAGTTCTCCTTATTAACTGAACATAGAATGGGCCAGGTAGTTGGAGGCGACCTTTTTCTTTCCCGGAAACATCGCCGAATGCCGAACTCATGAACGATAGAGGGGGCAACGAACCTGCCGAACTCCGTCCTTTTGGTCGACCTTTGAGTCGTCGTTGTCGTCCTTCTTTTTGGAACGAGCCGCGGGCGAAATCCGCCCGTTTCACCGGCCAAAGCCACGCGCTACGCCCTTTGGCGGGTTGTGAACACGTATGAACAGCCGCGTGGATGGCACGAGGACTTGCACACTTGACTGGCATTGCATGGTTGGAGGCGAATGGATGCTATGTTTGTGTGGTGTTGATTGCTTAATTTTTGAATGATTTTAAAGGTATAATTCGATTTGTGCGCCATGCCAATCATCAAAGTAAGAAGATCTATTCGGACCATATATTGAACAGCCCAATCGTCGGACCAGCCTCTCTGACATTGTAAGTCCTAGTCGTTTCCACATAACATCCACTGCTGTCCAGTGCTTTCACGCCCACGCCATGGAGCGTTCGCGAACGCCGCCGACACTGACGGTCCACGTGTGTTTGCCGAGCGGTCGCTCCGTGAGTTGCCAGTGCTCCTCAGTGCGGGAGTTGAAGGCGGCTGCCAAGCAGTCTTTGGGAGCCTTGGGCTGGTAGTTACTGCAACAGTTATGTCTCCAAAAGCTGAGGTTCAAACAGCTTCAAACCAACAAATTTTGGTGGGATCTCCCAACATACTCGACCATCTTTGTTATGACTGTTGGACCTCGAAGGAGTCAGCTTCTTGAGCTTGCTGGATCATGACGGGCAAACGCTTGATGCAAGTTGCAGCCTTCAAGAGCTGGGCATTGCAGATGGAGTGACCTTGAATGGAATCGTCCAAATACCAAAGCTGGCTGCAAACCTTCATGCTTTCATTCTGTGGTCTGCTGACGGTGCAGTCACTTGGGGCTTTCCGGAATATGGAGGTGATAGCACAGAAGTGCAGGATCGGCTGAGGAATGTGCAACAGATCAGAGCTTCGGCCACAGCATTTGCTGCTCTTCTCACAGATGGATCTGTTGTCCAATGGGGTGATGATCCAGATGACATCAAGCAGGTCCAGGAGCAACTGCAAGATGTGCGGCACCTTTGGTCCTCAGACTACGCCTTTGCTGCCAGCTTGGCTGATGGATCTATCCTCACATGGGGGGATTCGGAGGCTGGAGGTGACAGCAGTGCCGTGCAGCATCGGCTGAAGAATGTCCAGCACATCACTGCTTCAGCAGGAGCCTTCGCAGCTATTTTGATGGATGGATCAGTCGTGACGTGGGGGAGTGCAGAATATGGAGGGGACTGCAGTAGAGTTCAAGATCAGCTGAAGAATGTGAAAGACATCAAGGCCTCGTGGTATGACTTTGTGGCCATTTTAGCAGATGGATCTGTCGTGACTTGGGGTGATCCTGGAGCGCAGCCTGAGCGCAACAAGGCCCCAGATCAGCTGGAAGGTGTGCAAGAGATCCAGGCGACCTCGGGTGCTTTTGCAGCTCTCATGGCAGATCGATCTGTTGTCACCTGGGGAGATCGAGGCATTGCCGGGGACCCCAGCAGAGGTCTCTTAGAAAGCGATGAGACTCATCCAGGACGTCACATGGAGGGCCTGGGTGGTTTGCCTCGTCCCATTGGAAGGGGGCCGTGGATGTGATCGACGTTCGGGCACCCCGACTTCCGTTCGTTCGGCGCCCGACATGTGACTCCTGGATGTTGTTCAGTTTTTGTTGTTCAATCGTTTGCAGCTGAGCTTGTTGCCAGCGCCAGTCAGTTCCCATTGGGCGACGTCCACCGTGGGCCTTCCATGACTTGGGCGAACGTTGCACTGAAATTTTGGGCACTCCCAGTCCAAGCTCAGAATCACTTTCTTCAGACTGACGCCGCCCCAGACCTTCCTCTCCTTGACCATTGATCTCCTCCCTGGACCTTCTCCGCAGAACTACCACCTCTTTGCCACCTGCCCAAGGAGTCCGTGCACAGCTGCTGGACGTGCAGCGCCTCGCCGCCTCCGACGGAGCCTTCGCGGCGTTGCGGGCGGAGGGCTCCGTCGTCACCTGGGGAGATGAGGAGTCGGGAGGTGCCCAAAAGGGCCGGAGGAGTCGTTGGGGGCAGGTTGTTCTTGTTGTTCCGGTTCCTTTCTTTTTGGTGTGCAGATGGTGTTTTTTTGTGTGAGTGCACTGTGCTGTTTTTTCAAGCAAAGGTTTGGCATGTGTGTTTTTTTTTGCGATTCAGAATCTTAGAGAGAAAAAGGCATGGGCTGTGGAACGACGCCAAGAGTCAGGTTCTACAGGGATGGTTCTAGGAACGTCTAGGAATATGGTTTTTATCAATTTTTATGCTATTAACGCTATTAAGCAGTTTCGATCGGTTTCGGATTTGCTGAAACTTGTTGAATAGCTTCTGGAGTCGTCCGTTTGGCTTGGAACTAGGGGCATCCCATAGTTACTTCCACATTTACCATCAAAGACTTGGGGAACACCTCAAATTGGCAGTAACCTTGCTGGTGCAGGTCATTGCTCTACCTTTTTTAGCCCTACTAAAGTCCATTTGGGATGGTGGATGGGGCTTCATCTTGACCCGCGAGGTGACAGTAGCGAGGTCCAAGAGCAGCTTCAACACGTCCAAGAGATTTGTGCCTCCAGTCAAGCCTTCTCGGCGCTGTTGGCTGATGGATCTGTGGTTTCTTGGGGCAATCGATGTTGCGGCGGCTGAGCTGAGAGGTATCATTTAACTTTCAATATGTCTTTTTACTCGTTGGGGGGAATCTTGAACCTACACAACATCGTGACAAGAGGCATCAAAAGGCAAAATGTTACAGTATGAGTATGAGACAGTATGTTTGGAAATCATCAGAAGTTCTTCTTGCCATGTTTGTTTTGTTCGATCGAATGTGATATCGACCAAGAAATCGAGTGGTTTGGAAGATGAGGATGCCCCATTGAAGTGATTGTGACACATCCCTGGTTTTGTCGATGGAGCGATTTTCTACTTTCCCTGTGGGTGAATTCCCTTCTGGTGAAGATTTTTTATGTTCTCCTGGTTCCTGAACAGCAACTCCCAGCATCAAGTCCTTCTAGAGGAGTCCAGTCCGAGCTTTTTGTTCACTCGCGCAAGCAAAAGTACCACGAGGTGGTGACAGCAGCAGCGTCCAGGCTCAGCTCCAGAACGTGCAGCAGATCCACGCGTCGGGCTACGCATTTGCGGCGCTCTGTGCGGATGGATCGTTGGTGTGTTGGGGTGATCCCTGGCGAGGTGGTGACAGCAGCAAGATCCAAGATCAGCTGCAGAATCTTTGATCCGAGGCGAAAAAGGAAGAAGGACCAGGAGTTTCCAGTTCTTGCGGAACGTATCCCACGAGTTGTTTGAATCGGCCCTCAAGAGGATCACCCAGGATGTGCTTGGACAAGCCCCACCCTTTAAGAAGCGTCCCTTGATTTTGTCCTATTCAATTCTTGTAACAGCCGGTAAGCAAAAAAAAACATTTTAGAAGAAGATGAGGAAGGCCTGCATTTCACCATAATCCACTAGGCCCCTGGAACTGGAAGCTGGGATCCCCAGCTTGGACATGCTGGGAGACTCGAGCCGATCCCGGAAATGAACACAGCACCCGACTCTTAGTACCTCCAGGCGTTTGATCCGTTAAAACAGAAGAACCAACAACGAACCCACTGCCAGCAACACAAGAAAGGGGAGGCCTTCATGATACTGGAACAACTTACCATGCTATACTCCACATGATGCAGAGTTTTAAGACTGCGTGACTATTGCTCGATCTGTTTGGTGCTCAGTTTAGTTATGCGTTGTTGTCTTTTTAAATCCGCAGACCTCATACCTCAGAATGTTGTTTTCCTGTTGGAAGACATTCATTTGCACAGCATTAGGATCTTTGACCTTTTGGTGGTTCCCAGAAAAGGACAAGTCGACTGACGTTTGAATTATCCAAAATTACAATACCTCAGTAGCTCTGGGGCTCGGGGCAATTTTCGTCCACTTCCTTCTTTTTTTTCGAACCAACCTGCCAACCCCATGCAACGACTTCTTAGATCCACCACTCCAGCGCGGCCGTCGCTCGCACGCCCACACGCCATGGAGCGTTCGCGAACGCCGCCGACACGGACGGTCCACGTGTGTTTGCCGAGCGGTCGCTCCGTGAGTTGCCGGTGCTCCTCAGTGCGGGAGTTGAAGGCGGCCGCCAAGCAGTCTTTGGGAGCCTTGGGCTGGTAGTTGCTGTAACAGTTATGTCTCCAAAAGCTGAGGTTCACACAGCTTCAAACCAACAAATTTTGGTGGGATAACATACTCGACCATCTTTGTTATGACTATAGCTGTTGGCCCTCGAAGGAGTCAGCTTCTTGAGCTTGCTGGATCATGACGGGCAAACGCTTGATGCAAGTTGCAGCCTTCAAGAGCTGGGCATTGCAGATGGAGTGACCTTGAAGGCCAGTCTCCAACCTCAACTCCTTAATCGACTTGACAGCAGTATGCATGGTCAGCTGAACACGCGGCCGATCCATGTAACTGGCTACGCTTTTGCGGCCCTGCTGGCTGATGGATCTTTGGTTTGTTGGGGTGATCCGTCGCGAGGCAGTAGCACGATCCAAGATCAGCTGCAGAGCCTGCCATCCAGTGATGAAAAAGGAGAAGAAACCTGAGATCCCAAGCAGTTGGACAGGATGGCTTTTGGACTTGTTGGATTCAAAAAGAGTTTCCATTCTTCACCGCCCCAGGGCTGACATGTAGTGAAGAATGATCCCTCGGTGGAAGGAGGTTTTTGCAATATGCCGCATGCCTTCGTCTCACATGGGCGTTCCAGCTCGTTCCGGTCTGGACCGGCAGGTGCCCTTTTCCGGTCCGACCCGGAACCGCCAGCTCCCTTCAGAAGTTCACCGCTTTTCATCGCAGCTTTTCATGTTCCAACATGATCCTTAAATGGAACTCGGGCCCCCAAAAAGGGGGTCCACACACCTGGGTCCTGTCATGAAACATGCTTTTGATGAAATGAAACTTATGTGGCCTCTGAATGGAACATATTGGAACAGGGGTGTCGGAGTGAGGGGGTCTGAGAGTGGTGGCTTTTGGCATGTTGTGCTATTTGCGGATGTTCCTTGTTGTTCTTCACTGCCAGGGCCCGTGTTGTTCTTAACATCGCCTTCCCTGGAGGCGCACTCCGCATGGAGGGATCTTTCACTCACCAATGCCCTCGCAGGCCGACCGCCGCAGGCCGATCGCCAGGCCGACGTGAGTGACGCGTCGTCCCCGCTGACCCGACGGTCCTCTGCGCGGAGCGTTTGGTCCGCGGAGAAAAGGAGAGAGTCCGCATGCATTCGCCGGCCCTGCCGGGTGTATCAAGGGTTTCAAAGGGCAGATCGGCAGATGCGTGGTGCTGGAGAGGATGAAGATTCCAGGACGTTTTTGGTTGATTCTTCTGTCGAAGGCGGTCTCGCCACCTGCCAACGACCAAAGCCAGCTGGGAAAGTATCAAAGACATCAGGACCAGCAGAACCTTCTATTTTTGATAGCAATGCCATCTGATCACCTTCTTGATTAAACAACCTTTCTGGTTGCTGAAATCCCACTTCTCCATGAATTCGGTTGCCAAGTTCAACCTTCATCTTCCAGCACATGTCCGGCTCCTCATCTGAAGCTTGAAAGAACTCGACAGGTCTCACCCACCTGACCACGCCTCGATCGCACGCCTCGGTCGCCCGCCTCAGTCGTCCGAGGTCCTATGTGCTCCCTTCGACCGGACTGCTGGTGCCTCGGCTTCGTGCGAGCCCATCGTCACGACCCCGGACGCTCCGAAGAGCGGAAGACGGTGGAGTTGGTTGATTGGCTTTTTGGAACCGAGAAAGACCACTCCACACAGGACCATATTGGACCATGAAATCAAGACCACTTAGTTTTGGCTCTTCAGCTTGATTGATTTCATGGTCCTCCGAGACATGTTCGGGAGTGTAGACTTGTTTCTCCAGCGCAGTGTCCGACCTCAGCATGCGCCTGGGCGGGTGATGTGATGTCACGGTCAATAGAGGCCTTCACCAGCAGAGGTGTTTACGGGTCATAGCACCGGGATACCTTGGCTGACCGACGTCACGGTCAGCTCTACATGGGGTTAGGGCTCCGGGTTTTGATTCGGCCCAAGTCAAAACATGGTGTTTTTTTTGTCACATGTTTGTTGTCCGTGCCTAGTACAGACCTGGTATTTTTCGCTGATCACCTCTGCAGTGCCGGCGTCTCAGGAAGGCATGACGCACAAGTCCTTCATCTTGCTGGTGATCGCAGAGATATTGAACATGTCGCTGGAAATATGGGATTGGGTGGTGAAGCCTCGGGTTGAAAGGCTGGGCGTGAGGTCACAGTTCTTTGTTTGTAGTCAGATTACATCAGATTACTCTTATATAATTATATAACTATATATATATATATATTACTAGAGCCTGGGTTGCATGTTATGGATTTGCAGTCGTACAATGGCATAGCCAGATTTAGGGTTTGCTGGACAATGACTTTGACCATCCCAAAGATTGTTTTGTTTCATGCAATTGACTGGTGTGCTTCATGACTCAGCGCAAGCTTTGGTGCGGGAGTTGGACTCATCCTGTTGCCAGCAGAGGGATTGGTTGAGGTTTGGGTTGCCAGCTTGGATGACTTCTAGGAGCAAGGACGCTACTAGGGGCTCCTGGCATCGCTACTAGGAGCAAGGACGCTACTAAGGTGTTAACTTGCCCAGCAAGTTGCTGAATGATGGAAGCAGGTTAATTAGACATGAGAGCCGGAGCACTGATCCCATGAGTAAGCAAGAGAGAACATCATTCTTGCATTCTTGCCAGTTTGGCGAGCAAGTGCCTATCCCTGCCTTCATAGCTACCCTTCCTGCACCAGCTTAGACCCCCCCCATTCTACAGGTCAGTTCGACCTCATTTTACTGGAGTGGATCATTTTAACACACTACACTACTCAATGAGGTTTCGGACCTGGACGACTGGACCGAACCTGCACCATGGCCCCCCCACCAAACCCACCCGCGTGCCTCGCCACGTGCTCCGTTTTGGGGGCCCGTGCCGTGCTGTTTGGGCGACCGTGCGGTGCCGTTCTGGAAGAAAAAAACCCAGGTTGGTGGCCTATCCGAGTCAGACCTACACCTTGTGAACTTGGATGCGCTGAAGAACAGTTCTTCCAGCAGTTCCAATTTTGGGATGCCGAAGCCGAACGGAGGGGGTATGTATTTGTTTTTGTGGTGCCCCTGTCACATCCACTCACTTGGGATCTAAGCACTATCCCTTTGGAACTTCTGGTTCTTGTTTTTCTTTTCGTTGAGATGTTGCAAGGCGATGGGTGGGGGGTTTAGGTTTGACTCGGAACAGTGATCCCCCGCGCCAGTGCCACTGTACTAACTAGGGTAGTTTTGTCTCACTGTTCATGTTTGGGACATTGTTCAAAGTACGGGTCAGAAAGAAACAACAAATTGTTGCTTTGCTGTGTTGCAGCAGGAGGGGTTGCTGATGAAACAGATTGTGTCACTAGGTATTGTTCAATTATCATGGTATTGCGGTGTTCAAGAGCATTGTGTCAAACTCGTATCTTTCAATCTCCGCCTCATCGTTTTTTTCTTACATTACAGTAGTGTTTGTGTGTTTTTGGTTGCATTTTATGGGGTGTCTTCGTCCAACGAAGACCAGCCAGCCCGCCACCGAGTTCACCTCAGAGTCCGAAGTCACGTCAGCTGCGTCACCTGCGTTATCTGCGGAACGATAACGACATCCCCCAGAGGGTCATGAAAAGGCAGAAGCAAATTTTACCCGTCGATTTCGAAGAGATGCAGGGTAGTGCCTCCTGGTTCTGAAGCACCAGTCTATGATGGTCTATGTTACGCATTCGACCCCGAAGCAGGTGTTGTTGGCCGAAGCGGGTAGACTGCACCAGGTGGTGGACGCTGAATGGCTGGGAACCGGGGGAGATTGCGAACTTTGCCCTCTTGGCCGCCTGGAGCTGAAACCACTCGATTCCGGATGGGCAAGGATGGGCCGAAACCACTCGAGTTTCGAGGTCAGATTGACTTCCACAGGTCAGATTCAAGTAGAAGTGGGGTCACTGGCATGCGGCATAACATGCTCTAACATGATTCAAGAGCGTCACTGGCATAACCGCCACTCGCTCCGGAAGTCGGGATGCCCGAACGTCGATCACATCCACTCACATCGGAGACTCAAAGCCCATCCCGTCTTGTGACTCCTGGAACAGTCTCACTTCCACAGTCTGACATAAGTCTCTTGCACTCCCAATTTCTTACTGCGACTCGCACGGACGACGGACCCTGTGGTTTTCACAGACTCGTCGTTCCTCTCCAAAACCGTTCGTAGACGAGCAGCAGGGGGCTGACTCCGTGTCTGTCTCCCCTTCCATCCAAGTCTCAGTCGCGTCGTCTCGTCGGTCGTCTGGTCTCGTCCTCGCGTCGGCGCCTGTGTCGCGCTCAGACCGGTCTCATGGCGCCCATCTTACTGATCTTTTGCTTCAGCCTCCTGGCACGCATGACGCTCGGCAGCGACCGAGCGAACCAGGAAGGGTCCTTCAGCTTCGGCTGCCTTCGGGTTCGGGGGAACGAACGGGGCGTGGCGTGGTTCGGTGACGCCCCGCTAAGCGGCAGAAGTAGCTGGTGAAGTAGAGAAGTAGCTGGCACCAATGTGAAGTAAAGATCCCAGATGAATGCATCATAATGCATCTATATGGTGTACTCTTTTGTGTGTGTGTGTGTGGATGGATGGTTGCTTTGCAATTTTCTTCCACACATGAGCTGTTTCCATTAAAACAGCCTGTGTGTTCTCTCCAAACATATCAAACCATATCAAACCTATATAGTTGATGAACTCAACGAAAGCCCCCGTCTTCGGTCACTTGTGATCGGTGTTAGGACGAAAGCTCCCCGCCACGCTCATGTGGGCCGTGGTCCTTGGGGACCCGACACACTAGCGGCTAGCCCTTTATGGATCGTACCACTCCAGTGGACCCTGTAGAGACTTCGATGGCCACGGAACGGAAAGACAGTCGGTTTGGAGTCTGTCCGAACTGACCTGTTTACTCTAACCTGTGGCTGAAGAAGCCAATCACTTGTTTTGAAGAAGCCCGTATGACGAACCAAAGCGAAAAATCCACTGTTACTGGTATAGGATAGACCCAAGACATCCCAAGACGTATAGTGGAAGAGACCATCAAAGACTGGCACAAGATTATATCAACAACAATTCCTTCGGACAGATCCCTTACAAATATAGGCCCCTCCGACCATGACCACCTTTATCTGTGGCTCCGACCTTTGTCCGTGTTCTTTTCTTAAAGATCACCGGCAGCCCAAACCAAGAGAGGTCCAGTGACCTCAACTATATAGGACCCCTCACCGTCACCTGCAGGTACCCAACTGGGATCGCCTCGCCGGACCTTTGACCGACGCTTCGCCGGGCTTCGCTCGCCGACCCCAGGAATCGCTGGGGTCCCTGGGCGATGCGAGACTTCACCTGCTTGCTGCCGCCGGGCTCCTTGCTGCGCACGCCGCTTGGCGCCACGGGAAGAGACGGCGAAGGCGACGAGAGGTCGAGGAGCGTCTTGGGTTTTGGCCCAGAGACTCCATGAGTATATACCTCTATACAATCCTCTACATTGGCCCCGACTTCAACCACCCCAATGGGACTGCAAAATAGATGCAACATTTGTGCCAGTCTGATGGAGTGTCTCGGTGGGATTGAAGGTAGGCTTTGTGTTGAAGGTTGATGAAGGTTGTAGGCTTGAAGGATTGATCAATTGCATTCAAGGGAAGGAGCATCATATTGATACGCTTGAACCAAGGGAGACGTTGAGTACCCTGAAGCATAGTCGACCATGCGAGAATGGTCGTCAACTTTTGAGGTTAGTGGGGTTGGCAAAGGAAGAAAACAGTTTCTTAATTGGTCCCCTTAAACTTGCTTGAACACACGCCATTCGCACGCTTCGCACGTCTCTTTGAGGATCACTTCGCCCAAAAACAAGCCGCCGCTCCGCTCCTATGAGACTCCATGAGACTCCTATCTAATCCAGTCAAAAAGCTTCCAGCAATCAGCGCAGGTAGCCGCTTTAAGCACGGGAACGAGCCACAAAAGACAGAAGCGCGGTGCCCTTCGATCTCCTTCGACTCCCGTGCGTGCACGCGTGCTCCGATGCAACAAATCCGCCGCACACGCCGCCGCCGGCACCGAGAAACGCGGTGAGCCGACCGGTCGAGGTTGGCCTTGTGGGACCTGGGGAACCTCCACTTCCGCGCCTTGGAGAGCGCATTTTCAGGCGGTTTTCAGTGGAGGTGGAGCAGTCGCGACCGTAGTCCTCAAGGGGGGTGGGTAGGGGGGCGGGGCGGAGAAGGCGGAGGGAGAGGCTGGAGATGGTCAGCATTTGGACCTCCAAGAGAGAGAGAGAGAGAGAGAGGAGAGCGAGCGAGCGGCAGCGGCCGTGAGAAGCAATGGAGAAGAATCTTTGCAGGATTGATCCTGGCAGATGAAGCGTGGTCTGGACCTGGAAGTATACCTCTTTTCGTTGCAGGATTCCCCCCAAAAAGACCGGACGTCAATCGAAGTCGATTCGACGGACCACTTAATTAAGTATACATGTAATAATGATTGGTATCCACTTCGATATTGGAAAAAAAGGTCAGGTATTGACGTGAACTGAATCAACAGGTGAACCAATGCGCCCAACGTCTTCCTCTGTCCCCACCAACGTCTTCCGACCCACCGGACCACCTCGGACCTCGGACCTCGATCCACTCGAACGACCGACCGAACGACGTACCGAACGACGTACCGAGGTTCTCAGACCTTTGTGACGGCGGTGCTGCTGTCGGTCTGTGTGGACGTGGCGCATGGCGCAGCGGTGTGGTCCTCCATTATGACCATCCTAGGCTCGAGTCGAGCAGTGAGTCTACTGAGTCAGTCTACTGCGCGCGAGGGATTCGGGATGCGAACTTGGAGGGTAGTTAGGAGGGTGTTTAGAATGTGTGGCGGTGTTGGTGTTGGAGTGGCGGAGTGTTCTGTTCGTGGTGCTGATTGTTCAGGTGCTGTGAGTTTGGCTTAACAGTGAGTTCTCAGTGAGTGCTCAGCATAGGAGATGTACTGTACCAGGCCAAGGTGAGATGTCGACCGGTGCTTTGTTCAAGTCTGTTGACCGGTGGATTTGAGACTCCTTACCCAGGAGTTCAGTGGATTTGTCGCCTGCAACACCTTTCTCTTAGGGTATTGGGGGATTGGTTTCCCTACTTAAAGTGAACAGGTGGACAAAGATTGACCTTCATTTTCCAAGGAAAGGGAAGGGAAGGAGGACAACTGGCACCACGTATACTACATGCGTAAAGTCAGGTGGTTCAGCTCCAAGTCGATGGTTCGGAGCATTTGGAGATTGTACAGGTTTGTGGAGACATCCTGAGTTGAAAGCTCCTTTAGTGGATCGCATGTGGGAATGATGCAAGAGGCATTGGGTTTCTGGATTTTTGTCTTGTCACGTGAGAACAGATATGTAAATTCATACTAAGGTGTCATGGGGGTAAGACAAAGTGATTTTCCTTTGACAGGGTTTCGAAATCCGCTTGGGCAGTATGGGTTTCGACCTTCTTCCGACCAATCCAATCCTTTGGGTGGAAAGAACTCAGGCCCATTCCATGATTGGATGGATGACGAATGACGGGAGGACTTTCCAACATACCCAGACACGAATAATGGGACTGCCATGTCGTGCATGCCATAGGACTGCCGATCAGTTGGGGGGGTGTCAGAGGGGTCAATGTAGGCAATATATGGCAGTCCCATGGAGTCATGGAGTGTCGACAGGATATATTGAAAGTTCCTGTCGTGCTTCTCCTTGTCTTTCGCAAAAGCAGGCAACAAGTGGTACGCCCTGAAAGGCTGTGACTTGGCATCTCATGTTGGAGCATGGCCGTACTAGTAAAATAAACTCTGAACAATACACCAACAGAATGTTTTTCATTTTTTGCTCTATTATGTTGGATGTTGGAATGTTGAAGTCAAAACCTCCAGATCTCGGGTGGTTGGTGGTCGTTGACCCACTGGGCCACCACGTACGACGCTGGACCGTCTCCCCATGTGCTTGGCCGGTCAGGATGAGCAATTGACTGACTGCTACGATTTCGTTCGTAGTGAGGGGTGGCTGGATCCATTGCGGAATCCCATTTTTTTGGGGGGGAGTCTCATTGCCTCATGTCCCACCACGCACCAGCCAGTGCGAACACCACCGTGCCATTAACCAGATCCCAGATTGGAATCCACAAAACAACTGAGCCGCTGAGAAGAAGCTCCTATCCTAGGAGACATGCCTCTGACCTATTCTCCGATCAGTTTCACATCAGATTCTTTTTGTTTTTTTTGATTTGCCCATATGGCCCCAAAGTCTCACTACACCTACCCTCCCACGCCATCCTTTCCCTGAAACTGAGAGAACTCTGAAGTCACTATATGAGTCAAGTCTTCGAAGATGTCCAGTCAAGTCATCTCCTCGTGACTGACGACTGAGGCTATATTTGTCTCACCTTAGCCTCTTTCGCCTCGGCCGTGAGTCCCTGGCTGGGTCACTGGATTGGCCTTTTGTTCTCGGGCGCATCGAACCTCTACGTGCCTTGGGCGGACGCATTGTTTTTCAATCCACACCAGCTCTTCGCACACGTGGTGGGCGGCGTCACCGGGTTCTTTTTTTTTTCGAAGTATAACCTGCATGATGGTCATTGCTTTCGAATCGCCAATGTCAGTTGGGTTTGAATGGGCATTTCAGGGTACAGTTGCTCATGGATGTCTTCATGACATCAAAAAGGCTCCGAACACATCTCAACAAGAAGACCCCTACCGTTTCAGACCGGTCGGTGGCGTGGCAGAGTGAGACTTGTCCAAGCCTTGCTGGACGAACAGCAGGATGCTTCACCCGTTTCCGACCTGTCGGACCCGAATCCTGGTGGGGTGGTGGGGTTTCGGGTTTCTCACCAATCCCGATCGGTGTTTCTTGGGATCGGTTGGGCTGTTTTCCAGAGCCTTTGGGCCCATAGCCGCTTGCCTGCTTGCCTGCTTGCCTGCTTGCCTGCAGCTGTCCAGGACAATGCCAACTTGGAGATCCCAGTGAGTGGCAAAGGCTCCTTCAACGAGGCGGGAAAGATGGGAGGTCGACTCAGCGAGGTCTTTGAGAAGCGAACATGAACGTCATTGTATCACAACTTGAACACATGGCCCCTCTCTATGTAGTCATAGAAATGGATCACATGGCCCCTTGAATGACATTGACAATTGACAATGTGAGTCAAGACATTAGATTTTTTAGACCATTGAATCACGAGTCCCCTAAAAATCGATGTGAGTCAAGATGGCTCGTTCCTGTACCCAGCCAGAGGCCACCTTCTGGGCTGTGGTGCCGATGGCAGCGATGAGCCCCTTGGGCGAAGATGGCTGGCCGAGCTGGCCGCTGTTTTTGGCGAATTTGAGGGGAACATGCGTGGTCCAAGCGAAAATGCAGAATCCCAGTTTGAGGTCACATCTTGGGATCGCAGCCTTTGAGCTCGTTTGTTTTTGAGTACTTCATAAGAACAAAAAGCAAGGCATAGGACTCGCCTGCACGACTTCAGCACCAGTTTTCTGGGACGTGGGCATAGGACTCGCGCCTGGGCGCTCGTGGGCGGCGCTCTGAGGCTATGCATGCCAGATCATGGCCATGAGCTACTGGGCTCTCCATTCAGGTCCGAAACGCGACGAGGACGTCTTCAGGTTCCCGAACACCGAATCTGGTTCTTGTGCCATTGATCAATGGAGTGGGCTAGATCCACTGTGGCTCTACTGTGACCTTTCCACAGGCTAGTTACAGTCATCATTTTCCAGTTGTCCACACTTGTGTCTCTTTGTTTTCCGGTGCACGCCCTAGCAACCCTTGAATCTAGGAGGAATCAAGTTTTTGCTACTTGGGTTGAATGAAGCCCAGATGGACAGAACTCACTGTCCCACTGGCTGAAGAGAAAGCATCAGTACCGATAGCGGCTAGCGCAGAGTGGATTCGCTGTTTGTTTCTTCTGGTTTTTAACAAGTGAGTCACTTCAGCACATGTACGGCCATGTGAGTTATACAGTAGATCCCTAGGGCTCGCCCATATCCTCAGGTTCGGTGGTCTTCGACCCCCCTGGCACCCACCCACCCCTGGCCCGGCGAACCGAAGACGGAGGTGGGCGAGGTTTGGAACGGGTTCGTTCGGGCTCGCCCGGCTTTCGCCGCGGAGAGCTTTCCGGCGCGCGCCAAGACGGGAAAAACGACTAGGGAGAGACTGTCATGGGACTGGAATAGGGTCAGCGTTGTATTTTACTGGGTCATTTTCGTGAGGCAAATGACATGTTTGTATGACATATGATATAACATATGGATATAATGTGCAACATGATATAACATGTATAACTATTCCATCTATTCCATACTACCACTCTGCTCTAATGTCCATGTCCACGATCGTTTTTGTTCTGCAGCCAGCTCAGGATATTTCAACGATGATATCTTGACCTTCAAGGGCCATGGGAATTTATTGCCCGACGGCAGCCGGACCGGTGCGCCGATCGGTCATCCCCGCAGAGCCGCGGAGGTATAGACGACACGGCGAAGCTATTGGAAGAGCTACCCAGGAAAAGTGGATAGCCTGCAACACTGGGGGGGAATTGGTTTCCCCACATCACATATCCGGTGAAAGGTTCTTCGTCATTTCGTTGTGGTGGCCCCAAAACAGCCAGTGCTCTGAATACATGCAGATTTTGGTAGGTCATAGTCCATTGGTGACCCATACAGGGAACGGCTTGGTATTTGCACCTCTGACCATCACCGGACCTCTCTGGCAGGTACCGATTCTCATATGGTCTCAGTGGCCACCTGGATGCTCGGACAGCAAGCCCGATCTCTGAAGATGGTGTATTGAGTGACCATTCTGTGTTGACAGAACAACCATTCTGTCAACAACCACCATGCTGATCAGAACAACCAAGCTGTAGCAGAACGTCGGTGCCAAATCCCAAGGATTTTGCAACGACTCCCAAATTACACTACTTAATGAAGCTCACTTGCGAAGCTTTTTAGGAGGTTTATATTTAGAGTCTAGAGGTTTATACTTCATATAATTATATACTAATTATGACATATATCTAAGACATGTGATCCTCGGTTTGTCAGGAAAGTGAAGCAACAACGTTCCGAAGCCTTGGTCGGGGTGCCCGGTAAGCTCCAGTGGTTGGAGCTTTGCGGATTTGGAGGGTTTGGGAGGGAAGGGTGAGAGGTAGACTGCTTGGTGTTCCAAGTCTGGGCTCCATTTCTGGTTTCCCTAAGTCGTACTTAGTCATGCTTGTTTGATTTTTTTGGAGGTTTGGCAACAGAGATTTGAGGCCTACTTGCCTGAACATCGATCAAAGAAATGACGGCGGATATATAGCTATCTGTCCTTGGTGGTTTACAGCTGTTGACCTTGGAGAGGAACTCAACATAGCTCAACGATATATTTTATCCGACGTCCAAGTCAGCACCAAGATACGTCGTTGATCTTACCGTGGCCGTAAAGGAGGCTTTGAGAGGCTTCCTTCACTATTTACAACTTTACTTGTTTTGGGAGGAGGAGCACAAAGACGGAATGACGAGCGGCGACCTCACAGAGGATCAAAGAGACGACGACTCCCAAAACGGCCATGTTTTTGTTCCTCGAACTGTGATGATCAGACTCACCAAGTCGGACCTCATGTGTTTTCCCTTTTGAAAAGGCACTCAAAACGCTTTCAGAGCGACGCGCCGAAAGGGAGACCCTCTCGGGTGCCCGAGTCGGTCTGGAAGTCGATGGGTGGCCAGTCAGTGCTGTCGCGAAGAAGCGCCAGGACAAAAAGAAGATGAAGAAGAAAGCTCCGGAGAAGCAGCGCAAGAAGCGTTCCTTCAGCTGGGATGCCCTGGATCTCTCTGGATTTGGGGTTTAAGACTATGGAGCTGAGCTTAATGGGGCGACATACTGGTTGGCGTGCTGGTATTGGGGGCTTTTGCTGAAACTGAGTTACTGTTAAACTCCAGGAAGACTTTGAGGCAAGTTAATGCCGGAATGTCGAATCCAGCTTGAACAGTAAGTCTTAGCGCCGAAAAAAGAGAGAGAGAGATAGAGAGAGAGAGAGAGAGGGAGAGAAAGAGAGCGCAAGGGCTCGGGTAGAGACCCGCTTCTGCTTTTTCTGCGATCGATGTCTTGACCCATCCAGTGTCCGTGAAGTTGTGACGGAAGTGCCCGCGCAGTGTATTTGTCAGGCACTTTGTTCGGCCAGTTGCCCATCCTGGAGCCCATCAAAGCAGAGGCGGCAGAGGCGCGCCGTGTCTTTGTTTTCTTATTAAATGATGGCTTGTATTGAGTTCAGATCTTGCTGAAACTGAGGAGTGTTTTGTCTCGGAGGGTGTGGTTGATGGTCCTTCGAGTTGAGTCAAATGGCAGCGATTGGACGATTTGAGAGGTGCATTTCACCGCCAGGATGATCTTCGAAGATATATGGTGCAACCGGCAGTTATGGGTTTTGCAAAGGCCTTTGTTTGACCCAATCCAAAATGTGACGGGCAGGTGCCATTTGTCTTTGTTTCGAGGCAATGCAAACAAAGCAGACCAAGAAGGGGATATAGCTTGAGATATCTTGAGATTGAGAACAAAGCGTCACTTGTTTTGATTCCATCCTCTCAACCCCCCCCCGACATGATTCACAAGCCAAGAAGCACCCGATCCTGTGGTGCTGCAGCGCCTGTCCTTAGGAGCCGGGTGAGCATGAAATCGTACACGTGGCCGAGAATGAATTCGTCGACGTTGCCGCACGATTGCAATCACCGGTGTTGTCGCTTTTAGTCGCTGGGTTTCTGCCAGTTTATGTTTCCAATGGGGGTGGAGCAACATGGAGCAGCACTGCGGGGTCATGTTATTTTTTGCAGAGTCACCAACAAGAATTGCTGGGACTTGAATTGACTTGAATGTGAGGGTGATCTCCTTCTCTTGAACATGTTAAAGACCTAAGTTTCAATATTGATTCATATACAGTAGATGATGGATTCATAAGACTCAGCCAACCAGTGGACAAGGATTGGTCGTTGCTGATGCGGTGGGTCAACCTGTTGATGAATTCACATTTGACTGCAGATAGGGAAACAGATGCACAAAACAATCCTATACCCTAGGGATCCAAGTACCTTTCTCAGGAGGTGATTGGAGACACTCTTGTGGAGGTTTTGAGGGTCCAGTCGTACCTTCTGATTGTTTTCATGGCACCTCGGCGGGAAATTCTCTCTAGAGATATTACTCCACTGGTGTGTCCCAGTTAAGAGTCTTACTCAAAAATGATCACTACCAGCACCCGACGGCCAACAGGTCACCACCCGCCACGGCCAATGAGTCTAGTCTCCACCAGAGGAGACTTGTAGAGTCGGTCGAGTGAGTGCTGGTATAGGTTTTTTACAGATGTCCTGCAACCCAAGAAGACCTGGTAACCGGTGTTTTAAGTCTTCCAGTCTCCACCACAGAAGACCTGTAGAGTCGGCTGGGTGCTGCATCCCAAGCATCATCCACTGACCCCCCTGGCATCTGCTGATCTCCCATCCATCGCTCTCTTCCTCTGCGCGCCTCAGGTGGACCAGCGCTTGCAGGAGAGTCCAGCCGTGGTTCCAGGGGGGTCGAAAGCGTGCTTCAATCCAGCGACCGGAAGGACCACTACGGATGTCCAAGGCCTCCCTGTTATTCCAACGAACGGGGATGCCACCACTACCGTTCGTCAGAGGGGGATGTTTTTTTGTTGAACGACAAGGATCTTCTGCAAAGACTCAGGTGTTCCTTGACTGATGCAATATATGTCAAAAGGTGTGTGTGTGTGTGTGTGCCTGTGGACAAGTGTTTGATTACTTGGGAGAGTGGTACCGCAGTTCCCAGTGAGGCAGTGAGCCAGTAAATAGCACTATGAGAGACATCACCTGCATTTCTCTTTCTGCAGCTACTCTATTCATAGGCTAGGTGGTTCTTTTCCATGTATGGACGCATTCAAGGAAGAAGAGGGGTTGTCAAACACCCTGGCAACCTGCCCACCTACAGGACGGCTGACATGATGACACAACGGACTCTTATCAGCTTCCTGTCTCTGGTGTTGTCGGCCATGCATCTCAGTTTAAGACCTCAACAACTTCTTGTATGCCAGAAAGGGGGCATTATTATTGTTCGCTTTCTAACAGTAACCATAATGAGCAGAAGATGAATGAGAAAATCCAAAGAAGAAACACATATTACCATTATGGGACTATCAACTAAAGACACAAACACGTGACGACGACACTCATGCTTACTCCTAAAAGATCCGACTGCCCAAGCTCTCAACTTTGGACACCTGACAAGCATCGCTCGTCACCGCCAAAGGAACTGGTGTCGAACGACTCTTCGTTCCTCATGTTCAACATGGTTCCTGTCTTGCTTTGGGTCGGGTTCCAGGATGTACTTGAAGTCGGGTTCGAGGATGATATATGAATGCCTTGCTGGCCTTGCTCGCTCTTCAGGAGGCCGCCAACGCCGCGAGCGCCAACGCCGCCTCGAGCAGTTCCCATGCGCCGGAGCTGCGCCGGGCAGGCGCGGCAGCGACCAGCGCGACGCGGTGCAGGAGTGAACGCCTTTTTTTGGCGCTTCAACAGGGTGGGAACCGGTGGGGCCGATCTGGAGGTTTCTGGAGTGTGGAGATACAGGCGCATGAGACCTGGAAGGCGACTTTCCTCATGAATTTGTTTCCTTTTTTGCCAGCGAAGGAACCGACCCGAGTCGTGTTTTCGGGACGAGGCGGGAGGAAGAGGTGAAAGAGAACTGGCGATCGAATCGGAGAAGATCCACGAAGTCTCGGAGCGCGGACTGCCCTTCAGATGTTCTCCAGGCCCCTCATGCTTCAGAGTTGATGCCACTGGTTTCTTCATACCTGGAAAGGCGTATGAACACTTTTTTTTGTGCGAAGGCCGTATTTGGACAGAATTTATCGTATGGACATTTTAATTAACGAATTAGCGTATTTAGCCGTATGGACAGAAAAACAATACCGTACAAAAGCGTACCCATATGAAACCCAAACTTTATCAACATTTTATCGACAAAAAAAACAAACAATTATATTGATAAAACCCAATCAAACCCAATATTCGAAGGAATTCCAGAAAATTTGTCCATTTGACAAAAAAGGCCGGATGCACGGAGTTTTTGTGCGAAGGTGTTTGAACAAAAAAAAAAGGCACATTTGGATTCCCTGGTAGTCTAGCAGCCACTTCGTCCACCATCTGATGGGTTTCGTTTCGGCCCAGAAAAATCCCCCCACCAAGTTCCCCCCCCCAACCCCGCAAGTCCGCCCCGTAAGCGGCCGCCGCCCTTCGCTTCTGAAAACGGGTGCGACCAGGCACCGGAGTGAGCCGGAAGAGTCGTTTCAGCGGCACGTCCTATACCAGCTGCTTGGATCGACGGTCGGACAAGGGTGGGTCGGACAAGGGCGGGTCGGAGGGAGGGAGGGAGGGAGGGAGGGAGGGAAGGAGGGAGGGAGGGAGGGAGGAGGGTGGTGTATACCATAGACAGTTGAGCACCACAAGAAAGTGATGCGACATAGGGGTTTAATGATACGTATTTTGCAGAGCTCAGTTGAGATGTCAGTTCTTCCAAATGCAAATGTATTCATCAACAGCCTAGAATTGATGGTGGGTGTAACGGTCTCAGTGGGTCTCAGCGGGTGTAACGGTGAGCCCTTCGTGGAGGTGTAACAACGCTTGACATCCACGAGTCGTGGGGAATATTGAATATAGCATGTCTTGCAGTTTTGGGATGGCAAGACCTACAAAGAGACAATGGTTCCTAGATGTTAGTCAGTCAATGGTTCCTAGGTCGTCCCGGCAATTTGACACCGCGACACGGTATACTCGGTGCGGGCATCCTCTGCTGCGTCACCATGAGTGTTCCCTGCCGGCGAGCCAAACACTCCAAGGCGAACCAGGTGAATCCATCAAAGCGACACTACAGTCAGTCATGTATCCTCTCAGAGGTTGATTGGAGACACGTTTGATGATTTTGATGTTCCTTGCGCACGTACCTTCTCCAGAAGGTATATGTGGCTCTTGGTCTGAGCTACCTACAGTCTCATGGCGCGTTCGAGTGTGGAACGAATCATTTCAGTGGGGCTTCTGGTTAGCCGAGATGTCCCAGACCCCAGACATGATCTGTTTGAGACAGACCCTGGCATGACCTGAAAAACTATGCAACATGGACATGCCGACATGCCTAACTTGGCTGGCTTTATGGATTACAGTGGTTTCAGAGAATATAGATGGGGCACACCCAAATCCAAAAAACAACCTATTAGGGATTGTGCCATCTACTCTGAAACCACGCTAAAAGGAAGACATGCTGCACAGTTGGCAGATCTAGACATGTTGCCGCCTAACTGATTGACTCGACCCCTGAAATTAACCACCCTTGGCCTGATCGGCAGTCCGGCAGTCCTCCCTGATGGCGGGCTCTCGTGTTGGGGGAATCGGACTTCGGTGTCCGGATTGGCTTCCCTCAGACCCCACAGCGTTTGCTGCGACTCTCTAAGACCGCAACATCAGGGGTTCATCAGTTGTTTGATCCTGAAGTGCGAAACCAAGATCTTTGGAAAGCCATACATTTCTGGAATGTCATCCCTGCGGATTTGGGCCGATTGATTTGGCCCTGCCCTGCTGAGGCTATACGAGCCAACAGAGTGGCTGCACCGATCGCAGCGCGCCAGTCGCACAAGAGGAGGACCGGAGCAGTGAGCAGCGTTGCAGTGTAGAGTACCGGAGCAGTGTGTCGCCTGGGTCGAAAGGTCGTCGAGATCGACCATTTGGTGCGACATCGTATTGTCAATACTGCTTCCAGATTCCATGTCTCCAGTGTGTCTCCGAGAGGATCCAAGAGTTTTGACCACATGACGAGTAAAGGCCGTGTTTGCACGGGGGGCTGGCTAGCAGGTTCACACAAAGGTTTGTTCAAAGAGTCTCATCCTACAAAAGAGAAAATGCAGATCTTATGAAGACCCTTTCAAAAGATCTTGTGCAGACGCCTTGTCGAGGTCCTAAGAATGTGTCCAATTTTTTCAGGTTTCCTCGAGGGATCTTGCTTGCAGAACCTGATTCATTACATTGCTGACAGGTTGTTTGTAAGATCTTGCGGACAAGTCCAACTGAATAGCGCCTGTTATTATTGAACCATCACACTGTTATTCTTGGACCATTTGGAGAACAATCCAAGGATATGCCAGCATCATTCTCCCGAAACTGACCAGTAAGTTGATCACCAGTAAGTGACCTCCCAGAGGCGACCCGTTCGGCCCCGAACTGAGCCTGCTACATGTTGGTTCGGTCCCGTTCACCCTGGCGAACTGTAGGTCAAAACCCTAGTTACCTATACCCTACAAGTCAATGACCTCATTTTACTGGAGTTGGTCATACAAAAAACACTGTTCAAGAAGCTAAAGGACCTGGTTTTACTGGGTCTTTGGACTTGTAGGGATAGACTCCAGGGCCATAGAGATCCAAGTGAACTGACGGGACCAGACCGGCCCCGTCGTCCAGCGTCCGTCATGTCCGGAGCGCGTTCCAGAACCGTTCGGAGTGCGGTGGTTTCAACAGGTTCTCCTGATGATGTAAAGCTCTGGTGAATGTAGACTCGACTCTTAAGCTTCTACGAATAATCCTCCCATAATGGTCCCCATATGAAGAGGTGTTTCAATTCAAGTGGGGTGGCTTTATGTGGATTAAGGAAAAGGCATGAGGCATGTATAACAGCTCGAGTCCCAGCCTTCGCCGCCCATCACCGAAGATCCGAAGATCCGCCCGGAGCCGCGTTGCTGTCGACCGTCCGGGAGGATCCGGCGGGTGCTGCAGCATCCTCAAGGGTGTGAGGATCGGCTGCGGAGCCCTGCGCGGCGCAGATCGGCAGCAGTTGGGTGGTTGAGGCAAGCGAAGCAAGGCTGGGCGGACCTGTGGAGGTTTTGAGCCTTCTAAGAGATCAGTGACCAGCAGTTTCTATCACATTTCCAGCAGTTCTTTGTGGGGGTGCAGTGTGCCCCGAAAACCAGTACTGGACTGGACTACCCATTTTCTGAGGGACGAACGAGCTCCGGTCGAGCTCCAGGTCAAGCTGACCCAATCCTTTTGGGGGGGCACTGGTGTCTGGGGTGTCCCCACTTCACATGTACTGTATAGGTGAACAATGCTTTCTGTTCCGAACATGTACTTATTTTCAGGAGTATCTATAGACCATCTATTAAGGTCTCTCACAGCTTCTCCAAAAGGCTTTCCTTTTTGGTCGGTGACCGAGACGAGGTCTTTTTCAGGGGGAAGTGCGTGGTTGGATTCAAGGGACCGATGGTCCAGCCTGATCTCGACCGTGGGTCCACTTCCTTTCAAAGCACTGACCACTATGAAGAAAGCAATGTGTCCTGCATGCAAGAAACTGCCAGGTCAAATCACGTCAAATCCAATTCCTTTCCAAAGCAGGGTCTTGATGCATAAAGACAACATCTATCTATTGCTACTCTATGCTCTGTGAGCAGGATGAACACAACTTCTCTCCGCATCAAGTTGCATGTTAGATTCTTAGTTACATGCTGTCAGGCACTCTCCTGGTTGACTGAACACAGAAATGGAGACTAGCACCCAGCAGATCAACACGGACCCAGACAATTACCCCGTGGAAGGCCATTTTCCTCTACAACCCAGTGGCTATGAGAGTCAATGTGGTCTTTGGAGGAGGGTAATAGAATACCTTCAACATGCGGACCCAGGATTTGTCCAGCGCATCATGCCGAGGTGACAACGACAGAAAAGCGCATGGAGAGTGTCTCTCTCCTGTATATCTCAAGCTGAGTTCGGCTCGGAGAAAAGATAGAAATAGGATGATAAGAGGCTTTCCAGATGCGATGAAGAGGTCCAAGACAGCCCAAACTACACAGGATAATCAATTTGCAGTAGATGGCACAGCCCCCCACCCAAGATATCTTGAGCAGATGGGAGTTCATCTGAAGCCCCGACCTTGGGGTTTGGACCCTCTCAATCCAATAGCTGTGTTGTTTGTTGTTGTTTTTCTTGGTAAGGACTCTCCATGCACTCCGGGTCACCAACATGCACGTGGAAAAGTCACCACCTGTTTGATCTTCGGATTTCGTGGTGATCCGATTTCTTTGGGTCATGCCATCGACGTAGCTGCGATGATTTCAGGGAGTGTAAATACAGCATAGATGCAAATATCAAGTCTTCGGAACCCACTGTATTTTGGAGCCTCTTGAATGGTGACATCTGGTCGATGGAAAGTTAGGAGTCAGCGGAGGAGACGAGGGGTAGTGAATGAGTCGAAGAAGAGAGCGCTCATGCAGAACGAGCACTGACGTAGGGAGGGCCCTAATGTAGGATCTTGATTTATAACCCCCGCCACAAGAAGAGGTTGTTCAATCCAATTGGGGAGGAGGAGGTGATTAATCACGACCAAACACATAGGGGCAACGGAGATCGGCTCGGGGAGACCTGACGGTGGAAGTAGCTTGGTGTATCAACAGTAGGACTTGGTGGACTTGATGTGTCTACGGAGTCTAGGTCACCGTGATTTTTGGTATTGTTCAATGAATTTATTGTGCTTTTGAACAGCACGTGAAGTTGATTATACAAAAGAACAAAAACACCACAACATATGGAGGGGTTCGGGAAACGAGTGAGCCACTTGTAATTCTGGAGCTTGTGGTTTATCTACAAATTGTATAAACTAGACGTGTTGTATGTTTGATTCAGCGGAGTCGAAGATTGTGATATCCAATTAGATTGAGCATGGGGCAAACCAGCAGCAAGATGCGTTGACATTGGAAACAGTTCCCTTATTATGCATGCATGTGTATAAATCTTCCAGACGCTTTATAATTTGCATGGCATGAGACGAGGACATAGAGCTCATACATTGTATCCTCCAAAGGCAGTTCCAATGCACAGAATTCAATCTAGCGGTCGGCTTGGCGGAGCATTATCTTCCATGCAGCAACCCCATGGCCATGTGACACTTACTTGAAGCGGTCAAATACACCCAGTAAGTTGAAGTGTTGAAGTCCCTGTTTGTGACCTTTGACGGGTCTGACTGACCTCAAACCCGGGGATAAGGTTAGGTCACGAACTGAAGAACCAGGAACAGGTGATGTCCAGTGTCATGTTTCTTTCTGAAGAATCTGAGGGCATCCATCTTTTCTGCTTTGGAGTAGTTTCACTTTGCCTTCGATTCAACTAACTGACTGAGTTCGTCGTTTCAGTCGTTTGAGTTCGTCGGTTCAAGACCTCAAGGCCCAAGCAATTTGTAGATTGGAGGCATCCGCCCTTTGGAAGATGGCGGAACCAGTAACCTTTTCATAACTTTTCACAACCTTTCATATAACCTTTCATTGCCCACGATGCCGCTGTCTTGAACAAAAATTACCTGTTTTTTTTCTCTCAAGGTGATCGTTTATTTTGCCGTTTGAATTTCTTATACACCAGCAGCCTCATCGTTTGTGTAGTTGGAGAATCTCCAACGCAGGCAACATTTTTTTTGCAAAGGATCTTTTGTTGGGAGGCTGTTGACAAAAACCGAGCAACCTCAATCAACATGCAGCCAGGGAGAGTTCCGACTAAGCCTGCCGATTACAGTTTTTTTTTTTTGGCTGACGCGGACTGTACGCAGCTCCACTAATGGGTGGCGGTCGTGCAGTGTCCAAGCCATTTCATCTTACAGTGGTGTTGGTCCAAACGACATCAAATGACGAGGTGCGGGCAATCTCGGTTTCTTGAACTGTAAAAAAACACGGAATTGATTGTTGTGTTTTCTTTGCAGTGAACATAGAGCTATAGTATTTGACCTACCGTGACGTCTTCAGTCTTTACGTCTCTTGCTCGCGTTCACACGCTGCCACGCGACGCTGCTGCGCAGCAAAGTGATGGCCTTTTGACCAACGCCTTTCAGATTTTCCCCTGACCCGGTCCGCATGCAAAGCGAACAGGAATAGGATTGAAGAAGCTACCGCACGAGGCTCAGAAGATTGGAGCTACAGCACCAGTATAAAGGTTTGACATGCTTTTGTTAGTTCTTGACTGGGTGTTTGTGGATCAGGCAAGGATGATAGAACCTGAAGACATATCTGGGCAAATTAAGGCGAGCTCACCTGACGAGGTACGAGGTAGAATAATTTGGAAACGAAAATAAGCGAGGTAAGTCCAGCAACAGCAGCAGCACAAAGCTTTTGAGCTTGTAAGGGCCACTGCTGGGCATAGCTTCCAGGAGCTACTGGGACTCCACTCACCATGCCACACAGAAGCCCCAAGAATACCAAAAACAAAAAAACAACCTATTTTTAAGAAATAGGCCCGATTTTTATCTCAAGCATGCTTGAAGGGATTGGGGCTTGCAGAGGCCACTGCTGGGTGTAGTTTCCAGGAGCTACAGGGACTCCACTCACCATGCCCCACAGAAGCCCCAAGAATACCAAAAAAACAACAACCTATCTTTAAGAAATAGGCCCGATTTTTATTTCAGCATGCTTGAAGGGATTGGGGCTTGTAGAGGCCACTGCTGGGTGTAGTTTCCAGGAGCTACAGGGGATCCACTCACCACGCCACA